GTAAGCAATTTCTGATAAATAATCATTTTCAAATACTGGAGTAATACTCCTCAATTTTTCTGCTGTTCAAAATGTAATGACTACAGACAAGATACACTCAAGTTTAATCTGCCCTATTACATTTTTTATCACCTTTTTTACTCGTTTATTCATGTATTTATTGGCCGTGTTGCACAGCATGTGGGATCTTAGTTGCCTGACCAGGCATCAAACCCATACCCTCTGCATTGGAAGCACAGAGTCTTAACCACTGGACTGCCAGGCAAGTCCTCATCACTTTCTTAACAGTAAACAAAATAATAAATCAAGCCATAATTTGTAGGGGTTTGTGTGTGTTTGTTTGTTTTTGACCCTGAAGCTTGAGGGATCTTAGTTCACCTACCAGGCATTAAAGCCATGCTCCCTACAGTGGAAATGTGGAATCCTAACCACTGGGATGCCAGGGGATTCCCAAATTTGTAGTGTTTTATAATAGCCATGGTATAAATTCTCCTATCATGGCCAGTTTCTAAGTTTCCAATGTGAAGTCCTTGAATGTGGCATTGGGAGGAAATGAGCAGTAATATATCTAAAGCATTTTCACTATGTAGATAAAATAAGTTAAAAAAAACTTCAAGAGCATACATATTAGTAAAACCTTTATGAAATGCTGAGTTTTATATACTTATAAATACCTTTTAAAATCTAAATTACATAATTATAAGTTTATATAATTTATATGGTAGATTTAACAACTGGCCCACAGGCTTCCTAAAAATGTAACAGTGAGTACCAATCCCAGCACATCATTGGAGCACAGGTGGAGGTAGAGTCAATCCACCAAGTCTAACCAGAATGTCCAGCTCCTTTTAAAGTCTGTTTTCATAACTGAGGGACTGGTGAATATAGGAAAAGGGGAAGCAGGAGGCCAGTTCTCTCTGTCAGTTTGATCCCTAACAAAAGACTTCAAGGCGAGAGAGGGAACCGGAGCAGAGGAGGGAGGGCTTGAAGGAGGGCTGAAAAACAGCGTGGGGCGGTTACTATGGAAATCTCAGATTCAGGGGATTCCCAGTCAGTGAACTCTGCCTCGGATAGAGGTTTCTTCATAAAATAGTCTTGGCCATGGATTTGATGAGGTTTAACTTCTTTTCTAGCAACCATAAGTTTTTTGTTGCTTCCTGAGGCTTTCCTAAATATCTTCATCCAGAGTATTTTTGCTTTACGTTTTTTTTTTTAATCAATCTTTTAGACATTGCTTGTGTTTAACAATCCCTGTTTAGCCTTCCTCCATTACTTTAGTGGAAAGGAAAAGTGATATAATAAATGTGAAATCAGCTATCTTGAGGTATGTCTCCCACGCCTTTAAGAACAATTAAGAAAAATATTGTTAATCTGAGGCCTGGCAGTTAGTTAAATAAGATGCTATCAAGAATCTTTACTCCTATAATGGTTGTTGATACACACTCTGTCACCCATTGCCATGAAGGGTGGCCTCTGTAAGTCCAAAGTTCTTGGAACTAAAGCGTTTCTTAGTCTTGAATACCCACAGTGGGGCTGGGGGAGGTTCTTCAGTCCTTGAAATCTGAGAGTTTAGCAAGCCTAGTGCTGCATTCCAAGTACTGGAGGGTTACAGGGTGAACAAATGTGGAATGAATGTGTATTTTCAAGACCAATTGTTCCTATTCAAATGTAAGTTTGAAGAGAAGGAGGCCCAGCCCTTGAGACCATTTTTAGTTCTGCTGCTTGAATAAGGACATCTTTGTTCCTCAGGTAGCAACAACTAAAACCAGTGAAGCCCTTCTTCACATCAAGCCAGCTCTGACTTAATTTTCTTCAGAAAAGGATTTGAATTAAAATCTGAATATACTAGTTAGTGTTTATTTTTTTTTATTTAATTACTTTGCAGCACAGTTGTTTTACAATGTTGTCTCACTGTCTGCTACAGCAAAGTGAATCAGCTATACATGTACATAGATCCCCTCTTTTTGGATTTCCTTCCCGTTTAGGTGACCACAGAGCCTTGAGTAAAGTTCCTTTAGAGTAACTCAAGTTCTCACTAGTTACCGGTTTTATGCACAGTAATGTATATATGTCAATCCCAATCTCTCAATTCATCTCCCACCCCTCTTTCACCCCTTGATATCAACATGCTGTGCTGAGAAGTCACCTAAACTGTATCTAACTCTATGACCCTGTGGACTGCAGCCCGCCAGGCTCCTCTGTCCGTGGGATTCTCCAGGCAAGAATACTGCAGTGGGTTCCCATTTCCTCCTCCAGGGGATCTTCTGACTCAGGGATCGAATCTGCATCTCCTGCACGGCAGGCAGATTCTTTACCACTGAGCCACCGGGGATAACACTCACCGATATCAATATAGTGAGTATTTAAAAGTGTTTTAAAATAAATGTTTTGAAACACCCATACCTTAGATTGGGGGTAGTTGTTATTATCTTGTATATCACCTATTCTACTACTGCATGACAGTGTATTAGGACGAACATGGTCTTTGGAGTCTTACAGATTTGAACTTAATGCTTTAGTGCATTCCTTTGGATAAATCATTTCATCTTTCTAAGCCTCGATTTATTCTGATCTAAATGGTAATGAAAATTCTCTTACTCAGGGAAAATACCTTGCACAACAATGAAGATTCACTGAAAAAGTGTATGTGAAGGTGCCTAAAAGTACATGGGCATCCAATAAAAAGGTTAGTTTTGTTTTTCTTTCACTACCAACTCCGCCAAGTTCAATGGATGCTCAGTAAATGTTACCAGCAAAGAAATTTACTTCCTTTTAAAAACTGACACTACCCAACTATTGCCGTCTCCTCTCCTCTGTTATTGTTACCAAACCCAAATTCAGATCCGCTTGCCCAACTCAGAGCGCAGCTCATCAACTGACCCTGCATTGTGGTGAAGGAACCTAACAGTGTTCATTGCAGGATACCAAACAAGGAGGAAGGGCAGCTAATGCTCAAAAGATCTGAACTCCTCACTGACTTTCAGGCGGGGATTTTTTTTTTTTGGTCTTACTGCACATGGCATGTGGGAGTTCCCTGACCAGGGAACAAAACCGCACACCCTGCAGTGCAAAGTCTTTAACTACTGAACTTCCAGGGAAACCCAGGCAAAGATTTGTAAAGGCAACATTAGGGCTGAGGGTCATAGGGTGCCTGCTCAGCTGGTGGACTTTCTTCTGTTTGCTTGGTGGTAAGGTAACAAGGTGATGTTTAGGAAATCTTAATCATCAGCATTTATGGTTCTAACCAGTCTGGGGTCTAAGTGATTGTGGTCAGCATATAGTCACCATCTTTCACCCAGGTTGGCAGGGTGCAGTGGTGTCCTTAGCCTCTGCAAGACAACACAAAGATATGTATCGGTTGTTATATATATCCCATGAGGAAGAATTAGTTTTGTGACTGTTTTATCTCTCAACTATTGTCTGAGCTCTTATTACTATTTTTGCTTGACTGCTTTTCCTTTGATTCTGCATTCCCTCACTTCTCTAATTAGTAGCTGTTTGAGTCTGCTCTTTGGAACTTGAGGGACATCTGGGAGACTGAAGCCTTTTTTCTACAAACAAGACAAAGGAGACAAAAAAGGCCCTTTGCATTGGGAAGGCCCTGCAAGGTCCTGCTTGATTTCATTATGAAGAAAGAGAAATTTACTTGACTGAACAAAGAATAGCAAAACAAAACCAGAACAAAATTAGAGTAACATAATGCCAAAGCCAAGGTATTTTTAGAAATAGTTTAAATCGTTTAACTTTTCCCCCAGTTCAGGGTGGTCTCAGGTGGCTGTGAGGTTGCCACAGCCTGTGATGACTTGAAGTGGGACCTCAGTTCCCTGACCAAGGACTGAACCTGGGTCGCAGTGCTCACCCTGGCACTTGTCTGCTTTGAAGAAAGATTTCAGCAAAGAGGTGAAAAGCAGTGAGACAAGTAACGTGCTTATTAGGAGAGAAGATACATGCAGAGAAAGCACAGGCAGGCTCAGAGAGAGAGAAAGCTGCACACTTTCGAGGTGGATTAAATTACTTACATAGGGTCAGTTCTTTCTGATGTCCTCTGGCCAGTCATCTTGCTTTGACTTTGAGTCACTATTTAGTCTGGCTCAGGGCCCTCCCTTCTTTGGAAAAGACCCTAATGCTGGGAAAGATTGAGGACAGGAGGAGAAGGGGGAGACAGAGGATGAGATGGTTGGATGGATGACTGACTCAATGGACATGAGTTTGAGTAAACTACAGGAGATAGTGAAGGACAGGGATCCCCCGGCATGCTGTAGTCCATGGGGTCGCAGAGTTGGATACAACTCAGCGACTGAACAACAACACCAGGGCCCTCCCTCGTATGAGTGTGCATCATTTCGCCAAAATGGATTCCGGTGCAAGAGCCTCTGAGAGGTTACAAATTTGGAGTTAGCGCTTTACTACATTGCAGAACATAATATGGCCTGGCTCCCATTCCCTTGAGGATCTTTTCTGCACATGCCTAGCTTAGGAGCCTCCTTGACCTCAAGAATGAGAAATATGTGGTCTCTTTATCTTTTATCTGAACAGGACTCAACTCATCCTTGCTCCTGCCATTATCTTTATTTTGAAACATCTGTCAGGACTTCCCTGGTGATCCAGTAGTTGAGAATCTGTCTTCTAATGCAAGGTGCACAGGTTCAGTCCCTGGTTGGGGAACTAAGATCTCACATGCTGCAGGGCAGCTAAGCCTGCTTGCTGCAACTAGAGAAGCCCCCGTGTGCCACGACAAACGCCCAGTGTAGCCGAAAAGAAAAGAAAAGAAAATATCTGTCTACAGGGGGCAGAGTCCAGCTCCCCAGCTCAGGGTCCCTCTATCTCCTGCTTCAGGCGGACTTCTGGGTTGCTGGCGGTGACCTGTTTGCTAACCAAGATGGTGGTTACAAGGATGTGTTCATTTTGTGATATTCATTTTGACCTATACAGTCAAAATTGTATTTTTTTCCGTGTAGCATTCTTCAATAAGAAATGTAAACATTTTCTCTACAGAAACCATGCCCAAATTCAAGCAGCGAAGAAGAAAGTTAAAAGCCAAAGCAAAAAGATTATTCAAAAGAAAAGAAGCCTCTCACTTTCAGTCTAACCTAATTACACCTCCTCCTCCACCACCCTCACCAGAAAGGTAAGGCATAATGTGGAACAGAGAAAATGTTAAAAATCTGATCAGTTTGGGAACAAGTCACCAGATGTATCAATGAAAAATACAGAACGCTGCTTAATTTGAATTTCAGATAACCAAAGAATGATTTTTTGTGTGTTGTCCGTGCAACATTTGAAATACACTAAAAAATATATTTTTTAGTACTTATTCATCCTTTATCTGAAATTAAACTTTAGCTGAGCATCCTGATTTTCATGTGGCAACCATAGTTTAAGAGTTCAAACAAGGGACTACCCCAGGGGCCCAGACTCAATCCCTGTTCTGGGAACTAGATCCCACATGCGCAACTAAGAGTTCACAGGCCACAACTAAAGAACCCACAAACCACGATGAAGAGCGAAGATCCTGTGTGCTGAAAATAAGACCTGGTGCAGCCAAAAAAATAAAAATTAATTAATTAATTAAAAAAAAAAAAGTTCAAACGAAGTGAAAAATCTCAAGTAATTGTGTTTAACGTTTTGTTGTTGATCAGTTGCTAAATCCTTCACTATCTTCCGGAGTTTGCTCAAACTGATGTCCACTGCGTAGGTAGGTGATGCCATCCAACCATCTCATCCTCTGTCATCCCCTTCTCCTCCTGCCCTCAATCTTTCCCAGCATCAGGGTCTTTTCTAATGAGCTGGCTCTGCACAGTAACTATTTTCTACTTTCCTCCTCAATTGTATAAATCTGGTAACCAAGTGATGAAAGACGGATATACAGCTGGAACTTAAACCTTCATTTTGGTTAAGTTTGGTCTTTTATTCTCTGGGACTCAGGGCTTAGATGTGTTATTAAAAGAGACTATGAGATCTAAGAACTCTAGGGTGGTAGTTTTCACATAACAAACTTTACATTTTGTTTTTAAAGGTCTCTTTACAGAAAAAATTTTGAAACAAACAGACTGAAAAAATCAGTAGCCATGATACCATCCTTGACTCCTCTCTCCTGAATGTTGCAGTTCCCCCAACTGGCCTTCCTATTCTGCCCTTACCCCCTCTGCAGTGTATTTCAGCACAGCATTCAAAGTGAGCCTACTAAAATCATGTCATATTGGTCTTCTACAATGAAAGTTCTTTGTATGATCCACAAGGCCTTTATGGTCTGCTTCACATTATCCATTAGTCTTCTTCCCTCCTTCTTTCTACCCTAGTCATCCATCTTCCTTGCTACTCCTCAAACATCTCAGACAAGCACCCACCCCAGGGCCTTTGCATTTACTGTTGCCCTTGTCTGGAATGTTCTTTTCCCCAATATTTGCTTTGCTAGTTTATTCCATTGAGGTTTGCTCTCAAAAGCCACCTTCTCAGTGAGACATTCTGTCATTACCCTATTGAAATGTTCACCTCCAGGCAACATTTCACATTCCTGCTATCTTGCTTTATCTTTTTCTCCTTAGCATCTGTTCACTACCTGAATTCAGTTCAGTTGCTCACTCGTGTCTGACTCTTTGTGACCCCCTGAACTGCCCCACGCTAGGCCTCCCTGTCTATCACCAACTCCCAGAGCTTGCCCAAACCCATGTACATTGAGTCGGTGATGCCATCCAGCCATCTCATCCTCTGTCACCCCCTTCTCCTCCTGCCTGCAGTCCTTCCCAGCATCAGGGTCTTTTCCTATGAGTCAGTTCTTCGCATCAGGTGGCCAAAGTATAGGAGCTTTAGCTTCAGCTTCAGCATCAGTCCTTCCAATGAATAATCAGGACCGATTTCCTTTAGGATGGACTGGTTGGATCTCCTTGCAGTCCAAGGGACTCCCAAGAGTCTTCTCCAACACCACAGTTCAGAAGCATCAATTCTTTGCAACTCAGCTTTCTTTATACTCCAACTCTCACATCCATACATGACTACTGGTAAAGCCATAGTTTTGACTACATAGACCTTTGCTGGCAAAGTAATGTCTCTGCTTTTTGGCATGCTACTAGGTTTGTTGTAACTTTTCTTCCAAAGAGCAAGCGTCGTTTAATTTCACGGCTGCAGTCACCATTTGCAGTGATTTTGGAGTCCCCAAAAATAAAGTATGTCACTGTTTCCATTGTTTCCCCATCTATTTGCATGAAGTGATGGGACCAGATGGCATGATCTTAGTTTTCTGAATGTTGAGTTTTAAGCAAACTTTTTCACTCTCCTCTTTCACTTTCATTGAGAGGCTTTTTAGTTCTTTATTGCTTTCTGCCATAAGGGTGGTGTCATCTGCGTATCTGAGGTTATTTATATTTTACCAGGCAATCTTGATTCCAGCTTGTGCTTCCTCTAGCCCAGCGTTTTGCATGATGTACTCTGCATATACGTTAAATAAGCAGGGTGACAATATACAGCCTTGTTGTACCCCTTTCCCAATTTGGAACCAGTCTGTTGTTCCATGTCCAGTTCTAACTGTTGCTTCCTGATCTGCATACAGATTTCTCAGGAGGCAGGTAATGTGTTCCGGTATTTCCGTCTTTTGAAGAATTTTGCACAGTTTGTTGTGATCCACACAGTCAAAGGTTTTGGCATAGTCAATAAAGCAGTAGATGTTTTCCTGGAACTTTCTTGGTTTTTTGATGCTTTTTTGATGATCCAATGGCTATTAGCAATTTGATCTCTTATTCCTCTGTCTTTTCTAAATCCAGCTTGAATATCTGGAAGTTCACGGTTCACGTACTGTTGAAGCCTGGCTTGGAGAATTTTGAGCATTACTTTGCTAGTGTGACATGAGTGCAACTGTGTGGTAATTTGAGCATTTTTTGGCATTGCCTTTCTTTGGGATTGGAATGAAAACTGACCTTTTCCAGTCCTGTGGCCACTGCTGAGTTTTCCAAATTTGCTGGCATATTGAGTGCAGGACTTTCACAGCATCATCTTTTAGGATGTGAAATTGCTCAGCTGGAATTCCATTGCCTCCACTACCTTTGTTCGTAGTGATGCTTCCTAAGGCCCACTTGACTTCACATTCCAGGATGTCTGGCTCTAGGTGAGTGATCACACCATCATGGTTATCTGGGTCATGAAGATCTTTTTTGTACAGTTTTTCTCTGTATTCTTGTTTCCTCTTCTAGTATCTTCAGCTTCTGTTAGGTCCATACCATTTCTGTCCTTTATCGAACCCATCTTTGCATGAAATGTTCCCTTGGTATCTCTAATTTTCTTGAAGAGATCTCTAGTCTTTCCCATTCTATTGTTTTCCTCTGTTTCTTTGCATTGATCACTGAGGAAGGCTTTCTTATCTCTCCTTGCTACTCTTTGGAACTCTGCATTCAAATGGGAATATCTTTCCTTTTCTCCTTTGCCTTTTGCTTCTCTTCTTTTCTCAGCTATTTTAAGGCCTCCTCAGACAGCCATTTTGCCTTTTTGCATTTCTTTTTCTTGGGTATGGACTTGATCACTGTCTCCTGTACAATGTCACAAACCTCCTTCTATAGTTCTTCAGGTACTCTGTCTATTGGATCTCATCCCTTGAATCTATTTGTCACCTCCACTGTATAATCATAAGGGATATAATTTAGGTTACACCTGAAAGGTGTCGTGGTTTTTCCTACTTTCTTCAATTTAAGTCTGAATTTGGCAATAATCTGACCACAGTCAGCTCCTGATCTTGTTTTTGCTGACTGTATAGAGCTTCTCCATCTTTGGCTGCAAAGAATATAATCAACCTGATTTTGATATTGACCATCTGATGATGTCCATGTGTAGAGTTTTCTCTTGTGTTGTTGGAAGAGGGTGTTTATTATGACCAATGCATTCTCTTGGCAAAACTCGGTTAGCCTTTGCCCCATTTCATTTTGTACTCCAAAGCCAGATTTGCCTGTTACTCCAGGTTTCTCTTGACTGCATACTTTTGCATTCCAGTCCCCTGTAATGAAGAGAACATCTTTGGCATGTGTTTGTTCTAGAAGGTCTTGCAGATCTTCATAGAACCACTCAACTTCAGCTTCTTCAGCATTACTGGTTAGGGCATAGACTTGGATTGCTGTGATAGTGAATGGTTTGCCTTGAAACCAAACAGATCATTCTGTCATTTTTAAGAGTGCACCCAAGTACTGCATTTCAGACTCTTTTGTTGACTATGAGGGCTACTCCATTTCTCCTAAGGGAATCTTGCCCACAGAAGTAGATATAATGGTCATCTGAGTTAAATTCACCCATTCCAGTCCATTTTATTTTCCTGATTCCCAAAATATTGATGTTCACTCTTGCCATCTCCTGTTTGACCACTTCTAATTTACCTTGATTCATGGATCTAACATTCCTGGTTCCTATGCAATATTGTTCTGGGGAAAGGAGTGGCAAACCACTTCAGTATTCTTGGCTTGAGAACCCAATAAACAGTATGAAAAGGCAAAAAGATAGGACACTGAAAGATGAACTCCTCAGGTCAGTAGTTGCCCAATATGCTACTGGAGATCAGTGGAGAAATAGCTCCAGAAAGAATGAAGGGATGGAGCCAAAGCAAAAACAATACCCAGTTATGGATGTTCACTAGTTAACAATCCACATAGATTTATTTTCTTTTAAACTTTATGTTTTGTATTCAGATAGAATGAATTAGCAATGTTCTGATTGCTCTGGGTGAACAGTGAAGGGACACAGCCATACATATACATGTATCCATTCTCCCTCACAATCCCCTCCCATCCAGGCTGCCACATAACATCAAGTAGCTTACATATATTTTTCATTTAGCCCTCTTTGTAAATCCTATGAAGGTAGGATTTTTATCTATTTTGTTCATTACTGAATCTCTGACACATATTTATTGTGTTATTTGATTTATTATTATTTATTTACTCAATGAAGAATTTGGCTTTTGGTAGTATCTGCCTCTCAGTCATACTATAAAACTAGCTTGCTATTTAATTCAATTCAGTTCAGTGCAGTCGTTCAGTCATGTCCAACTCTTTGTGACCCCATGGACTGCTGCATGCCCGGCTTCCCTGTCCATCACCAACTCCCGGAGCTTGCATAAACTCATGTACATCAAGTCGTTGATACCATCTCGCCATCTCATCCTCTGTCGTCCCCTTCTCCTCCCGCCCTCAATCTTCCCCAGCATCCGGGCCTTTTCCAGTGAGTCGGTTCTTTGCATCAGGTGGCCAAAGTATTGGAGTTTCAGCTTCAGCATCAGTCCTTCCAATGAATATTCAGGACTGATTTCCTTTAGGATGGACTGGTTGGATCTCCTTGCAGTCCAAGGGACTCTCAAGAGTCTTCTTGAACACTGCAATTCAAAAGCATCAACTCTTAGGTGCTGCTGCTGCTGCTGCTAAGTCACTTCAGTCGTGTCCGACTCTGTGCGACCCCATAGACGGCAGCCCACCAGGCTCCCCCATCCCTGGGATTCTCCAGGCAAGAACACTGGAGTAGGTTGCCATTTCCTTCTCCAGCACGTGAAAGTGAAGTAGCTCAGTCGTGTCCGACTCTTAGCGACCCCATGGACTGCAGCCTACCAGGCTCCTCTGTCCATCGGATTTTCCAGGCAAGAGTACCGGAGTGGGGTGCCATTGCCTTCTCCGCTCTTAGGTGCTAAACTAAGAATTATTTAATTAGAGCCTGTTAATTCCAACTCAGGAGTTTTCGCTTTGTTTGATTTTGTCTTTCCTACAGAGCGGTTATTCCTTCAACAGATATACCCATTAGCAGAAGCTGGCTAAGACTCTCCTGGAACTTCAGATTTCCCAGTTTTAAAAATGCAATAAAGCTTTGGACAAATAGAGTATGGTCTATATACAGCTGGTGCCAGAGCTGCATGATCCAGGTATGGATTTGACATACATTTTTTCAGCATTATGGTTTTTCTACACACTTAGTATGTGTGTTTACATGTGTGTGCTCAGGTCAGTAGACACTCAAGCTTAGCTCACATAATATGAAGTTAGGTGGTTATGTCTGTCTTCACTTTTTTAAATAAAATTTATATATTGAAATATAGTTGATTTCCAATGTTGTGTTAGTTTTAGGTGTACAGCAAAGTGATTCGGTTACACACACATATATATTCTTTTTCACATTATTTTCCATTATAGATTATTAAGAGATATTGAATATAGTTTCCTGTGCTATACAGGAGGTCCTTGTTGTTGCCTTCACTTCATACATTATAGCATTTTCTTTATCATATTGTCCTTATCATATTGCTCAGTGGAGTCAGACTTCTTTATTTGTGAATTTCAGAGTTTAGAAGTATTAAAAAACACCATCTTTCCATCCCGTCTCTGCCACCAAGAACTTCGAAGTCTAAAACAACGGTTTTGCATTTTGGAAGATGAAGTATGCAAGCTCCAGGAGGCACTGAAGGTTAGTATTATCAAATGAAAACAAAGCCAGAGTTAGGTACGGAGGGAAGGGCTAGTCCTGCATTGGAACCCCAGCATGCTTTCATTAGAAGAAGGAGTGGCTATAGGCTCGTGCTAGTTCTGGGCATCTTTGCTGTCAGATTTCTTCCTTAAACTGGAGAGGCTCTGCTCTGCATCGCAGGGGGGCTGACCCCTGCAGGCGCCATTGCCTAAGCTGCATGTCACCTGGCTCCCAGTGTGCACTCATGGGAAACACTGATGAGAGGCTAGAAGGAGCGAGAAAAGTGAAAGTATTAGTCGCTCAGTCATGTCCAACTCTTTGTAGCCCCTGGACTATAGCCCACCAGGCTCCCCTGTCCATGGGATTCTCCAGGCAAGAGTATCGGAATAGGATGGGTCGCCATGTCTTCCTCCAGGGGATCTTCCCAACCCAGAGATGGAACTCACATCTCTTACATCTCCTCCATTGGCAGACAGGTTCTTTACCACTAGTGCCACATATACATGTATGTATATGTGTGTGTGTGTGTGTGTGTGTGTGTGTGTGTGTGACTCAGTCGTGTCCAATTCTTTATGACCCTATGGGCTGTAGCCCACCAGGCTCATCTCTCCATGAAATTCTCCAGGCAAGAATACTGGAGTGGGTAGCCATTTCTTCTCCAGGGGATCTTCCCGACCCAAGGAAGACAGGCGAAGAAGATGGGGTATTTTTCCCCTTTGTTCTCTGTGTTGGGCAGTTTCTCCAGCAATGGGTATCATTGCCTGCCTCAGTCCCACTCCCACTAGGTCAAGTCCACCATGTTTCTAGATTCTCTGAGTTAACCTAGCTCCGGAGGTCTGGTTACACTGCCCGTTCCTTTGACCTTCCAGCCTCAGAGTGTTCATGGCTTTTGCTGTCGCTAATGACTTGGCTGCCTCACTGTCCCTTCAGTACTTCTCAGCCCTTCCATAGTATAGTGGTATAACCAACTCCCCATATTACATGTTCCCTCTTCAAAAAAAAATTTTTTTTTTTTTTTTTAATTTTTGACTGCACCCTGAGGCATGTGGGACCTTAATTCCCTGACCAGGGATCGAACTCATACCCCCTGCATTGGAAGGCAAAAGTCTTAAACACTGGGCTGCCAGGGAAGTTCCTGTCCCCTCTTTTAAATATTCAGTGTGGTTTCTAACTTCTTGACTGAGATAGGCAGGAAAAAAACTATAGATATCCACTTTCTCCAAACTCCCCTAAGCAAGACCCCCTATTCTCAGTGTCTAAAACATAAAGAATAAACATTGTGCTCATTGATTTGGAGAGACACTTCTGGGACTATACCCCTAACCCAGAATTTGTACCTCAAGGTGATCTAGCCTAAAGAGATAAGGCAAATCACCCTACAACCTGGACCTTAGTTTCTGCATCGATAAAATGGGGAAGATACCATCTGTAGTGCGCTAAGTGATGGCTCTCCAAAAAGTTGGCCCAAGTCCTAATCCCCGGAAGCCTGTAGACATTGTCTTATCTACCAGGGTCTTTGTAGATAGATAATCAAGTGAAGGGTTTTGAGATGCGGGAATCATACTTCATCACCTGGTTGGACCCTCAATCCAATGACGAATGTCCTTATAAAAGACACACACAGTAGAATACATAGAGGGAAGAGAAGCAATAGGACCACCAGGGGCAGACGTGGATCATAGGGCCGCAAACCAAGACATACCAATACATTCCGGAAGCTGGAGGAGACCAGAAACAGATTCTTCTCTAGAGCCTTGAGAGGGAATGCACGCCTTGATTTCCGGCTTCCAACCTCCAGGAGTGGGAGAGAATGACTTTTCTCTGTTGTAAACTACCAACTTTGTGATACTTTGTTATGGCAGCCTCTAGGAACTATTATGCCCTCTTACTTCCAAGGGTCATTGTATCCATTTGCTAGGGCTTCCATGACAAAGTAGCACAGACTGAGTGGCTTATTCAACAAATTTGTTTTCTCACAGTTGTGGAGCCTAGAAGTCTAGGCTCAAGGTGTTGGTAGGGTTGGCTTCTTCTAATGCCTCTCTTGTCTGCTTGTCTTCTGTGTCTTTAGATGATCTTTTCTCTGTGCCCATGCACCCCTGGTGTCTCTCTTATGTGTTCAAGATTTGTCTTTATGTAAGGACACAAGTCACACTGGATTAGATCCCACCTTAATGGCCCCCTTATTATTATTTTTTTTTAATATTTATTTATTTAGCTGTGCTGGGTCTTAGTTACGGCATATGGGAACTAGTTCCCTAAAGGGATTGAACCCGGGCCCCCTGCATTGGGAGTGCGGAGCCTTAGCCACTGGTCCACCAGGGAAGTCCCCCTAATGGTTCCTTTTAATTTAATCATTTCTTTGAAGGCCCTGTCTTCAAATACAGTCACATACTGAGGTACTAGGGGTTCAGGCGTCAATATACGACTTGTGGTTGGGGGAAGACAATGCAGCCCATAAGAGTCATGTTGCAACCTCTGACTTTTTTTTCCTGTCAGTTCCTTGAATAGACTGTATTCTTGGCTGCCTTAAGTATTTTTCCCTCTCCCAGGAACTCTCTTCCCTCAATCTTTATATCCTTTCTTCACCTGATAAGCCTAAATTCATCCTTGAGATAATGGCTAAACAGCTATTCATGCTCACTTTACACTTCATGGCTCTTATTTTTCTCTTTTTAAATAATTATTTATTTATGACTGTGCTGGATCTTCATTGCTTCGAGGACTTTTTCTCTAGTTGCAGTGAGCAGGGGCTACTTTCTAGGTGTGGTGCATACAGTTCTCATTGTGGTAGCTTCTTTCCTTGCAAACACAAGCTCTGGGGTTCACAGGCTCAGTAGCTGCATCTCCCAGACTTTAAAGCACGGGCTCAATCGTTGTGGTGCAGAAGCTCAATCGCTCCAGGGTATGTGGGGTCTTTCCGGATCAGGGATCAAACCTGTGTCTCCTTCATTGGCAGGCAGATTCTTTACCACTGAGCCACCAAGGAAGCCTTGGCTCTTTTTAAAGTATTACTTGGCTTGTTTCGAATGTGTTTTGTGTATCTTTGAGATCTGTCTTCCTCAGCGGACTGTGAGCTGGATGGGGAGACAGACAGGACTCACGCTGTAGCCAAGTGCCTGGCATATAGCACACACAGAACAAATAGATGAATGAGTGAATGAGCTTGTGACAAATGAGAAAATATTGTAGCGCACGTGGTGTGCAGAGAAGACATTCAACACGTGGCAGCTATGATTTTGATGACTTCTCAAATAAATAAAGAAGAACCAAATAAATCTGTTCTTCAGTTGCCAAATGTAGTTTTTTTCTTCCAGGCCGTCTCAGAAAATTCCTCACGTCCCAGCTGTGGGCAAGCGTGTCACATGGGTGGTAAGCTTCCAGACGTGCCCGCCTGTGCTCCAGCCAGCCCTGCAGACTCCGCAGATCTCCGTCCTCCCTCCCCAGCTCAGCCCGCCAGTCGTCCTCCTCCTCTTCCTCCCCCTCCTCCCCCGCCTCCCCCTCTGCCTCCGCCCCCACCACCGACAGCACCATTGCTGCTCAAAAAATCTGCTCTCACGAAAGCACTTCAGGTAAAAGAACAGTCTAGTAAAGGTGTGTCAGTGGGCAAGGAAGGAGTCAAGCCAGGTGTCTTTTTTAAGGCTGGGCAAAGAGCTCTGACAGGAAGGACTGCCTTTTGTTCTAATTCCATCTCCTGCTTATGGCAATTATTGTTTCTAAAGACATGGTCCCCAGGGAGTTCACAGAAGTTGGATTTAGAAATGAAAGTGATTTTTTTTTTTGGAGGATAAATGAATGAAACCCAGCAGGGTGAGAGATTCCTGTTGGCTTCTTGGTATACCTTTTTACCAACAGGAAAATCTCTCTGGGAAACCAAATTAAAGACTCCTTAGTGAGTGAAGTCAGAATAACAGTAGGCGCAGAAAAATAGTCTTTGATTCCACTTGTAGGAGGTACCTAGAATAATCAAATTCATAGGGTCAGAAAGCACGAAGGGTGAGGTGGGGAGGGGGAATGGGGACTTAGCCTTTTTCTTTTTTGGTGAGCGGGGGGATGGGGACTTAGTGCTTAATGGAGACAGAGTTTCAGTTTAGGAAGGTGAAAAATTCGGGAGATAGATGATGGTGAGTGTTGCACAATATGAATATACTTGGTGCCACTGAACTGTACAGTTAAATATGGCTAAGATAGTATGTTTTATATTATTTAGTATGTGACTTTTATCACAATAAAAAAAATTTTACAAAAAAAGAAAAAGAATTGGTAGATCCTCAAGTGTGATGCCATTGGATTGGAGAACCAGTCTCCATTAGAGCTACTTACCTGCCAAGGGGAACCACTAACCTATACACAGCCCTATCTAAAAAGCTGATTACTTTTTACTGCCGATACATTTGGTTTAAAATGACAGAATTAAATGCAGAGTCTGTTGTTACAGTTGCCCTAAAATATACCTCTTCGAGTATATGTTCTTGCTTTCTAACAAATGTGTCCTTTTCTTAGGTAGTTTAGGCAAAACTTCACGTTAATTAGAGGAACTCTTTCTACTTCTCTCTTATTACAATGATTCCTAAGGAAGATGTGTAGTTGTAGAAAACAAGCCCAGCTCTTACTTAGTTTCAAAGCCTTACATTTTCATTAATATTTTTCAGTAGCCTTAGCATCCATAGATACTGGAAACAGAATTAGTTCTTGGTTGCATGGAAAGAATTTGATTGCCTCCTAGGGGAAATAAGAGTTAATTTTTAACTCTGAGGCTTTAAAAACTAGATTTGGATTTGCATTTGACTAGATGTCCTGGTTTCAATTTGAATTCTAATTTTTCCTTGTGTCTTAAGGCTGGACCATTAAAAAAACATGGACCCCTGCAGATAACAGTTAAAGATCTACTGACTGTGAAATTAAAGAAGACACAGAGTTTGGATGAAAGGAGGATGGTAAGAAATCATTGACCACACATGTGGTCTTTCGTTTTTGAAACTGCTTGTCTCTTAATGGAAAATAAGCATAAGTCTTAGATATAAAAGCTGTTCTGAGGAAAGTATTTGATATTTTATTTGAGTAATTTTTGATCTCCTCAACAAAATATATAAATCCCCCAATTATTTAATTCGGCAGTTTTATCCACCAACCATTAGCTTGAAAAGGTAGAGGTATACTTTGAAGCTTTGGAATAAAAATTGAATAGATATATTTTACACATACTCAGCATGCAAATATTTGTTGCTTTGATATGTTTACATTTTGAGTGATATTTTAAAATCTGTTTTTAATAATGTCTCATTTTGTGATTAAAGCTTGTACCATCACCAAAGGTACAGAACCCACTGGTTACTGTCTCTGACCTGCAGCGCGTTACCCTGAAACCAAAGTCCACAGTGTTGTCAACTCGAGTTACAAATGTCTTAATGTAAGGAACTGCACAATATTACACTCTACTGCTACTTTAAAATAGTAATATTTTGCTTATTTCTAACTCTAAAATTATATATGATCACTTAGGAAAATTGAAATATACAGTGATGTTGAAAGAAAACAAAAATCATCAAATAATCAAATCATTGGAGACAGCCAGTCTTAACATACTATTGTTTATCATTCTAGTCTTTTTCTAGGCATATACACTATTATTTCCAGTTCATGGTGCTATTTATTGCAAAATATAAAACATCATCAGGAATTTTCAAATCAGCACAGTTTCAGAAATTAGTTAAAATTAGTATGTCTTGGAATCAATGAAATATGTATATGTAATATACATATTACAGGTATATGTGTATGAAATATGTATATTAAATACATTTTGCATGGAATATGTATATACATACATACACATGTATGTGCCCGTGTGTAATTTATATTGTGTTGAGTTGGCCAAAAAGTTTGTTTGGATTTTTCTGTGCAATGTTACAGAAAAATGTGGATGAACTTTTTGGCCAACCCAATATATACAAATATAGCTTTTCCCATTACTGTGTCATAAACTTTCCCCTATCTCATTAAAAATTAGCTTAAAGAATCATGTTGACTTCTTCAATAGATGCAGTTTTTTAATATGTGAACTTCATAGATAAAATCCTGTTTTGAGACACTTGGGTTGTTTTATGATTTTTTTGTTTCTATAACTCTTCAATAATCATCCTTGTCCATCATCTGTGTGTGTAGCTGAGTTTTGCCCTAAGATGAATTCTTACAAGTGTAATTACAAAGTCAAAAACAGTAACTTATTTTAAAAAAATAATAAAATGAAGGTATTAGTTATTCAATTATTAGATTCTTATTATTAGAATCATTATATCACTTTATGCTCCTATCAGCATCTACTGATAATGTAACAAACTACTTTCTAGGATGTTGCCTATTTTGAAATGATTGCTTTACTTTGAGAAAAATTATACAATCTGGTGAGCTCTAACTTTTGTATTTTTATTTTATCAGTACTCCTGGTAAAAGTCAGTTAGATCTACGGAAACTACTTAGAAAAGTCGATGTGGAAAGGTAATCCATTCTCCTATCTTTATGCTCTCTAAATTCATTTGAGGAGTTGGCATAAAACACAACTCCCAATATTTTCATTACCTTTGCAGGAGCCCAGGTGGAACCCCGCTTACTAATAAAGAAAATCTGGAAACAGGAACTGGGCTGACCCCAGTAATGACCCGGGCCTTGAAGAGAAAATTTCAGGTAAGCCTTTATGAAAAGCATTTGGAAACAAACAAAAAAAAAGCATTTGGTTCCTTTTCTTCAAACTCTTTAATTTAGAATCATAATCTAAAGCATCTCTCTTAATAATAGTAGTAATTTTAAAACAGTTCATTATACTGGTCCATCCTAAAGGAAAATCAGTGTTGAATATTCATTGGAAGGACTGATGTTGAAGCTGAAACTCCAATATTTTGGCCACCTGATGCAAAGACCTGACTCACTGAAAAGACCCTGATGCTGGGAAAGATCGAAGGCAGGAGAAGGGGATGACAGAGGATGAGATGGTTGGATGGCATCACTGACTCAGTGGACATGAGTTTGAGTAAACTCCAGGAGTTGGTGATGGACGGGGAGGCCTGGTGTTGCTGCAGTCTATGGGGTCGCAAAGAGTCAGACACGACTGAGCGACTGAACTGAACTGAATTGATGCTTTATAAAGAACTTCATGTTTGCGGTTCATGAAATGCTATGAAATAGCTAAGATTATCATCTTTACTTTAGCAATGAATGTCTGGTTTTATTAATTTCATTCATAACTATTTATTAAGCAGTTCCTATATGCCAGACGCTGTGCTAGAATACCTGGGAGATAGTAGTAAGCAGAAACAGACACAGATCTACTATCTTGGAGCTTTCAGTCTAGTGGCAAAAGTAGACAGTAATCAATAATCACAATTTGTGTAATTTTGCACTGAAGTAAATTCTGTGAAGGAAAGTAACAAGGTTCAGTGAGAACCCTTGGAGAAAGTCGATCCAACCTGGATGATCTCGGAAAGATTCCCTTAGGAAGTGATGAGGTGAGACTTGAAGGATGAGTAGGCATTAACTGGAGAGGGTACCTGTATTGTGAGCCCACCATGAATGTCACAGAGAGTCCCAGGAGAAAAGAATAAGATACGCAAAGGTCTCATGGTGGGAGGGATCAGGGTCTGTCTGGGGAACTGGAAAGTGGCCAGCGAGGCTGTAACAGAGAGACAGGGATGAAGATGGAGATAGGAGTCAGATAATGCAGAGCTGGTAGGAAAGGGTCTTCACAGCTTTCTTTGTCACCTGCCTGTATGACCCACACACCAAAATCCAGTGCATCAGTTGGCCCTTGTGTGATTTCTTCCAAACTCTATTTGTCTCATCTCCCCGATCCCCTTTATCATCAGATCTGTGAGAAGCAGCCACTTCCTGCTAGAGTGCTGGGGCTCAGGGCTGCTGGCCTCTTGGCTGTGAAGCTTATATTTCCATCTCCCTCTGGCCCAACAGACTCACCACAAATTCTGCTGCAGACACACTTCCCACCCCAACTCTGTCTTCCCTTCATTCATTCCCGTGTTGAGAAGTTTTTGCCTGTCGTGAAAGGAATAAAAGCAAAACTAAGCAAATGGGACCTAATCAAACTTAAAAGCTTTTAGACAGCAAAGGAAGCCATAAACAAAACAAAAACAACCTACTGAATGGGAGGGAATATTTGTGAATAATGTGACTGACAAGGACTTAATATCCAAAATATACCATAGTTCATACAACTCAATATCAAACAAACACTCAATAAAAAAATTGGCAAAAGACCTAAACAGACATTTCTCCAAAGAAGATCTACAGATGGCTTGCAGGCACATGAGTAGATACTGCACATCACTAACTATTGAGAAATGCAAATTAAAACCCTAATAAAGTATCACCTCCCACTGGTCAGAACGGCCATCATCAAAAATCTACAAATAATAAATGCTGGAGAGGGTGTAGGGGAAAGGAAACCCTCCTACACTGTTGGTGGGAACATGAATTGGTGTAGCCACTATGGAAAACAGTATGGAGGTTCCTCAAAAAACTAAAAATAGAATTACTATATGATCCAGCACATATCCAGAAAGGATGAAAACTGGATCAAAAAGAGTCATACACCAATGTTCATTGCAATACTATTTATGATAGCCAAGACATGGAAGTGACCTAAATTTCCATCAACAGGTGAATGGATAAAGATGTCATATAAGTGTGTGTGTGTGTGTGTGTGTGTATACATGAATATATATGAATTCATATGAATATATAAAATGGAATGTTATTCAGCCATAAGAAATAATAAAATAATGCCATTTGCAACAACATAAATGGACGTAGAGATTATCATACTAAGTGAAGTTAGGCAGAGAAAGATCAATATTATATATCTCATATATGGAACCAAAAAAATAATACGAATAAACTTATTTAGAAAACTGAAGGCAACTTAACAGATGTAGAAAACAAACTTATGGTTACCAAAGAAGTAGGGGGGTGAGGGATAAATTAGGAGGTTGGGATTAACAGATGTACACTACTATATAATATAAAATAGATAACCAACAAGGACCTACTGTATAGCACAGGGAATGATATTCAGTATCTTATAGTAACCTCTAATGGAAAGAATCTGAAATTTTATACCTGAAACTAACATAACATTGTAAATCAATTATTGTTTTTAAAAAAAGGAATCAGTTCCTTCTGCAGGATAGCTTGGTTTCCCTCTTGCCAATCAACTTGTCCTGCTGGGCACTCTGTGGCCTCCTTTGCAGGTGTGGCCCAATGCCCCTTTCCAAATTCTTTGGAGCCTTCAATAGGAGTCCACTCCCAGATCACATTCCTTGGTGATACCATAAATTGTGAAGGGCAGAGGCAGAGGCCTTATTTAACAACTAAGCCCTTTCCTTTTTCTTATTTTGGCTGTGCTGCTTGTGGGACAGTTCCCCAACCAGGGATTGAACTCAGGCCATGGAAGTGGAAGCACCAAATCCTAACCACAGGGAACTCTGCCCTTCCCTACTGTGTTCAGCTCTAGGTGGTCTTTGTTCCTGCTCCACCCTGTAACTACTACAGTGGATTGGTTAATGTGGAAGCAAGTAAAAATGTAATGAGCAACAAACCCATGTACTGCACAACAGCCTCAAACATCACAGATGAGGGTCTTTCCTGGTGGTGCAGTGGATAGGAATCCTCCTGCCAATGCAGGGAACAACTCGGTTCAATCCCTGATCTGGGAAGATTCCACATGTCGAGGAACTTCTGAACCGAAGCTCTAGAGCTAGTGCTCCATGACAAGCCCCCACGGTGAGAAGCCCGCACACGCGATGAAGAGTAGCCCCTCCTGGCCACACCTCGAGAAAACCTGCGCAAAGCAACGAAGACTCAGCTCAGCCACAAATAAATAGTTTAAAATGATCACAGATGAGACCTTTGCCATATGCTGTGCTCTCCAAAACCCACTTAGTAGAGGATAGTGGTTGTTGTTCAGTTGCTAAGCTGTCTCTGACTCTTTGCAACCCCTTGAACTGCAGCACACCAGTCTTCTCTGCCCTTCACTGTCTCCCCGAGTTTGCTCAAACTCAGGTCCATTGAGTCAGTGATGTCATCCAACCAGTTCATCCTCTGTTGCCCCCTTCTCCTGCCCTCAGTCTTTCCTAGCATCAGGGTCTTTTTCAGTGAGTTGGCTCTTTGCATCAGGTGGCCAAAGATACAGGGTATTTAGTAAAAACTTGTTTTAGACATGGAATAACTTTCCCCACTCCTATTAGTTAGGTTTTGCTTTGACTGTGGGCAATAGAAATCTGACTATAGTGGCTTAAGCAAATAGAGGCTTATTTTTCTTTTCTGCATATTGCCTTGGGAAATAGGCAGTGGATACAGGGTATAGCAGCTTCCCATGTCGTCACCTCTCTTCCAGCCGTAACACATGGCTTTTTATCCCTATGGTGCAGAACATCTATACTTCCTGAAGCCTCTTGTCTACATTGTAAGCAAGATAAGAATAGCAGCGATCAAAAGGGTGTCCTAGCTAAACTGACCTTCATCTCTTTAAACAGGTGATATCCAGGAACTTTGATTATATCAGGGAAATTGGAAAAAGTGATTTTTAGAATCTGGCCGCATTGCTGCTTTGCATAAAATCTAGGTTCTGATAGTGAGGAAGGAGAGCTATGCTGACCACAAGAACATAATTCATATTATAATTGGGACTTCTTGTTTTTTTCATAGCTGGCTCACCCTAGAAGCCCAACTCAAACTCTGCCAGTTTCTACAAGCAACTTTGATGAACAAAACTGATGCCACCTCTGCCTGACCCCCAGCAATGATCCATAAAATGTACATATAAAATGACCCCAATCCTTTTTAAGTGTAGTATGTATAAATGATTATATTAATATATAATTCATTTGAAGAATTAAAATATGTGTGGAGCCCATGCATACTGTAATGTAAAGTGGGTATTCAAATACTTTCTAGTTTATATGATTGCTCACAGGACAGATGGGAAAATGCAATCCCCAGAGTGATGTTTATCCTGGAATTACTCAGTTTAGGTTGGAAAGGTTATTCAAATTTAACTAGATAACTCTAAATTGTGCTCTATATGTACAGTTATGGCATTAATAAAATAACCTGGTACCCGTTCATCTTGGGTATTCTCAGACAATTGGAAAGCAAAGTATTTCATCCTATGAAGCTCATGCATTCATTAAGTGCTACTTAACCCAGAAAGACCCTCTAGATTTTATTTCTGTTCCATATAAGCAATTAAGTAAGATCATCTCCCATCCAAACCTAACTATTGCAAAAGGATTTGAAGCAAAAGGTCCAACGTGACCTTAAAAATTAGAATTTCATTTCTAGTAACTTCGGTAGGTAGCTATATCTGCCTTATTGAAGTCCGGGATATTCCTTACTTTGATATCTGCTATCCACATTCCTACAGCTAAGTATAGACTTCATGAAGACCTCTACATGAACCTTGGGTTTTCTACAGTGCCCCACCAGGGATTTTCTGAGGTCCATAGCAGATTCACTGTGAGACCTGATTCTCTGTCCTCAACCACCTATCAATTCAATAACAGTCATTCTGTACAATCACAGGATTTTACTTTTTCCTGCCAATTCAGGGTTGCCAGACTTAGCAAATATAAATACATGCCTGCTAAGTTACTTGAGTTGTGTCCAGCCTTTTGCAACCCAATGGACATAGCCCGCCAGAGTCCTCTGTCCATGGGGTGTTCCAAGCAAAAGTACTAGAGTAAGTTGCCATGCCCTCCTCCAGGTGATCTTCCCAACCCAGGGATCCAACCTGCATCTCCTGTCTTCTGCATTGGCAGGCAGGTTCTTTACCACTTGCGCCACCTTGGAAGCCCATAAATATATGACACCCCCATCAAATTTGAATTTCAGATAAACAACAAATAACAAGTATATATGTGAAAGTGAAAAGTTGCTCAGTCATGTCCAACTCTTTGCGACCCCATGGACTGTAGCCCACCAGGCTCCTCCATCCATGGAATTTTCTAGGCAAGAGTACTGGAGTGGGTTGCCATTTCCTTCTCCAGAGGATCTTCCCAACCCAGGGATCAAACCTGGGTCTCCCGCATTGCGGGCAGACGCTTTACCATCTGAGTCACCGGGGAATCATTAAGTATATATAGGGCCCACTGAACAATGAGTAATTTTTTAAGTATAACTATGTCCTAAATATTGCCATGGGCTTCCCTTGTAAAGCTCAGTCGGTAAAGAATCTGCCTGTAACGCAAGAGACCCAGGTTTGATCCCTGGGTCGGGAAGATCCCCTGGAGAAGAAAATGGCAACCTACTCCAGTATTTTTGCCTGGCGAATCCCATGGACAGAGGAGGCTGGCAGGCTACAGTCCATGGGGTTGTAAGAGTCAGACACGACCTAGCAACTAAACCACCACCATCAAATATTGCCTAGGAAATACATTTATACTTAAAAAAATACATCATTGTTTTTCTGAATTTCAAATTTAGCTGAACATCCTATATTTTATGTGGCAACCCTACCAGGCAGTCTCCTACAAGGTTTCCAATATCTGGGAGCCCCCGGTTTTGTCAAATACGTCTGCTTAGCAGTAGATACTACTGTAGCTTCAGCCAGGATCCCTGCCACAATGTGCTAAATATCACGAAAGAGGAACTCTCGTTAGGGTGAGTGAGACTCTGAAGGCACAGTGTTAGCTCTGATGCTGGTAACTTCCACTGCAGTTCCGAGAATGAGGATAGTGGCTCCTCATGGAGGGGGATCAAGGAGTGTCACTTTTACACTGAACTTTATAACCCGGCAGGAAGCAGTTACATAGATGATGTCCCTGAAATATTCCCTGATTATGCTAAAAATATATTTTAGTAATTTCCCAGAAATGCCTATATTTCCTCAGATAAATGTAACTTTGAGATGCCAAAGAGAGGATTGTGAGAAGTCACCAGGCTGGAAAGCAGATATGGGAACAAACAGTGTTTTGTTTTGATGAGACCCGCATTTATATTTACATTTATGGATGAAAATTAAACAGATACTAAAGTTAAGAAATACATCTGTTTCTAATAAAAACTTTTTAAACCTGTTACTATGTTTATATTAAGTAAAATAAAGGGAATGATCACTGAGAAGAAAGCAGGTGAGTATCTGTAACAATATTTTATGGGACATCTAATAACATTTATAATATTAATAAACCAATGTGTACTGTATCAGTTTAAATGATTTTATCATTCTTGTGAGATAAAGGTTCATTTTTCTGAAAATGCTATAGAAATCCTATAGTTAAATATTTGTAAAGCTGCTGTTACTATTGTATCAGTATTAAACTGTGTTCTATCTTGTATCTTTTACTAATTTTTATGACAGGTTTTATACCCACTTGAGAATCCAATGACTGCTAAGGCTTCATTAAATTGTTGCTGATCATATGTCTCCACTGTTTATTTTGAGACTGAATGTCAACCAGAGAATATAAACAATCACAATGCATCCAGTTATGTTTTTGAGTAAAGAACAATACAAAACTTTGGTCTTTCTCTTTAACATTTTTTACTAGAAATATAACACATACAGGAAAGTACATAAAACATAAATAGACACAATATTAAACACTCATGTGATCACCAAGAAAGGGACATTTAAGTGTCTAGAAATGCCGCCTGTTTCCATCCCTAATGTTAATATCTTTCCTCAAGAAGTTACTACTCGACTTCCCTGGTGGTACAGTGGATAAGAATCCTCTTACCAATGCAGGCTACACAGGTTCCATCCCTAGTCTGGGAAGATCCCACATGCTGCGGAGCAACTTAGGCTGGGTGCCACAGCTACTCAACCCATTCGCTGCAACTACTGAAGCCCACACATCTAGAGCCTGTGCTCCACAATAAGAGAAGCCTGTGCACAGCAATGAAGATCTAGTGCAGCCAAAAAATGTTTTTTAATTAAAAAAAAAAAAAAACCAACAAAGGCTTAGGCCAAAAATGGGTTCTCTTTAAACAAACAAACAAAAAAGTGACTACTTATCTGTTTGTTTTCCTTTGCTTTAACCCTCTAAATATGCTGGGACTAAATATGCATCCCTAAATGCTATGACTTATTTTTTTATTTTATTTTTTTCTTTAAATTTGGCCGTGCCACAAGGCAAGTGGGACCTTACTTCCTTGACAAGGGATGGAACCTGTGCTCTCTGCAGTGGAAATGCAGAGTCTTAAACCACTGGACCACCAGGGAAGTCCCCATGCATGCCACTTTGAACATTCTTGAACATGTACATTTGTGCAAGTTACTTTAATGTGTATGTCTAGGAGTGGAACTGCTAGGTGGTAAAGCATGCCTGTTTTCTAGATACTGTCAAACTAGTATTCCAAGTGGTTGTACAAATTAATGGTCCCTTCAGCAAAGTATGAGATTTGTAACTCTTCTTTTCTTCTAGGGAGTCTTTTCAACTTAGTTTTTTAACATTTTGTTTACTTGGGAAATCTATACAAATGATGTGGTTAATATACACTATTTTTTTCTGGATTTGCAAGTCAAAGAATTGTTAATATTATAGCAGCAAAGTCACATACTAAACATAGCAAATAGTGTACATGATGAGGATCACAACATAATTTATGTGGATAAATAGGTACAATTTCTTATTTTAGTTGGCTTTAGAAGAGGGAGAGAATCCGGACATATAGAAGTAGAGTAGGAAACAAGTAAAAACCAAATAGACAAAATTTTTAAAAATAAATTTGAAAGCCCACTTCCAGTCCTTTCTAAATTCTTGTTAGCAAATAAGTATTGCCTGAGAAGAATTTCCCGAAGCCCAATATGGCTTAATATATCAAAAATATCAGCATCAGGACTTAGGGCTTTGAGAATTATTTTCCCCCAGTTTTCTTGAGATATAATTGACATATGACTTTATATTAGCTTAAGGTATACAACATAATGGTTTGATATATGTATCTATTGCAAACTGATTTCTACAATAAATTTAGTTAATATCAGTCACCTCATATAGTTACAGGTTTTCTTCTTGTCAATAGAACTTTTAATAGTAGAAAGAAAAATTACAAAATAGAGATATAAAAATAAGAATATGAAGGAAACAATAAAAATAAGAATATATTCACCCAAAAACCTGCATACAGATGTTTACAGGAGCTTAATTCATAATTCCAACACTTACAAGCAATTAAGATGTCTCTCAGTAGGTGAATGGATAAATAAACTGTGGTACATCCAGATAATGAAATGTTATTCAGCACTAAAAAGAAATGAGCTAGCAAATCATAAAAGACATAGAATAAACTTAGATGCATATTACTAAGTGGAGGAAGCCAATCTGAAAAGGCTACACACTGTGTGTATGATTCCAGCTATATGACATTCTGGGAAAGACAAAACTATGGAGACAGTAAAGATCAGGGGTTTGGGGGAAGGAGGAATGAATGGGTGGAGCACATAGGGTTTTTAGGGCACTGAAACCATTCTATAAGACACTTCCATGGCAGATACATAGCCAACATTTGTCCAAACCCAGAATGCACAACACCAAGAATAAACCCTAATGTATGGATTTGGGGGTGATAATGATCTGTCAAAGTAGGTTCAGATATTGTAATAAATGTACCACTCTGGAGCCTGGTGTTGATAATAAAGAAAGATATGCCTGTGTAGAGGGTATATGGGAGTTCTCTATGTTCAATTTTATTATAACCCTAAAACTGCTTTAAAATTTTTTGCTATAACCCTAAATTAAATTTTTAAAATTCTTTTTTAAATCCTTTTTTTT